GCAGGTTTGGCACGCTCTGCACTCGGGGCACCGCCAGCCCGAGCGCCCGTGGGGCGTGGGGGCCGTGTCCAGGCAGGCTCCGTGGAAGTGCTGCCCACAGCCCGTGCACAGCACCAGGTCCCGCAGGTCGCCCGGCCCGGCGCACACGCGGCACCGCACGTCCTCTGCCAGGGGGAGACAGGGGATCAGGGCCACTTCTCACGGGGTCCCACCCTCCGGGCACCCCGCAGGGGGGTGGGAGGGTCCCAGCACCCAGGGGGTCGTCCCCGGCCCGCACGCACCCATCTCCAGGGCCTCGGCCACGTGCTCGGGGCAGAGCAGCCGCAGGGTCTTGGTGGACTGGAAGCAGCCGCTGGCGGCGGCGCAGGGGAAGTGGTAGAGGCGGGAGCAGCCGGCGGCCGCCCGGCACGGGATGGTGGCCCCCGCCCGCCCGCAGCGTTCACATTTCTGAGGGGACAGGAGCCTGGGTGGTCAGTGCTGCTGGGGGGGTGGGGGCCCGGCCGAGCCCCCACAGCCCCCCCCCCCCCGGATCCAACCGCTCACCTGTGAGATCCCTGAGAAAACAGCTCTGGCCACGCCGGCCGCCTCCGGCCCCGCGCCGGCCGCCCAGGCCGCGCAGCAGCGATGCACCCAGCAGTGCCCTGCGGGGAAGGGGCGTCAGGGACAGCCTGGGGACACCTGGAGCGGTGGGACGGGGACCCCGGCGCCGTGATCCCGCTCACCTGTCGGCTCGAAGAGCTGCACCGGGGTCACCCCCTCGCAGAAGCCGATCTGCGCCGGGTCGTCGCCCGCCAGCTCCGGCTCCGTGGGGGGTTGGCCGGACCCCGGGGGGGGCTGGCCAGGCCCCTCGGGGGGGTTGTTGCCCACCAGCCTCTCGGGCCAGTCGGGCACCGGCTCGAAGCGCTGCAGCTCCCACTGCCCGTGCGGGCTCCAGTCCCCACAGTTGCAGAGGGCGCAGCGGCGGCCCGGCAGGCTGGGAGGGGGGAAACTTGGGGTGTCAGGGACATTTGGGATGCCCCCCCCACCAGCTCCATGCCACCCCTGTGCCCCCCTGCCCTCACCTGCCAGTCTCAGGAGGTCCCTTCGTGTCCGTGCTCTCCGGCTCCGGCCCCGCGGAGGCTCCTTCGGGAGGTTTCAGGGGGTCCCCCTCCGCGCTGCCCATCTCCTCCGAGGCCACGGCCCCATCAGCTGCGGGGAGAGGGGGTGTCACCACCACGGGGGGGGGACAGGGACAGGGACAGCCCCCCCCAAATCTGGCCCTGCGCTCACCTGGCGCGACCGAGTCCTTCTCCTCGCTGGGCGCCTTCTGTTCGTCCATCCTGCCTCCGGCGTCCCTGGGGGGGCCGCGGCTGTAGGGGGGGGGGATCTGTCAGCACAGGGACATTGGGACCTTCCCCGGCCCCCCCGCAGCCCCCCCGTGACCGCACACCCAAGGGACAGGGCAGCCCCTTCCCGTCACTGCTCCAAGGCAAGTTTGTGGGGTCCCAAGCTGGGAGTGTCCTCTGGGAGCAGATCCTGGCTCCCTGTGGGTCCAGGAGACCCCCCCACACACCACAGGGGTCCTCCCTGTCCCCCCATCACACCGTGGCCCTCCAGGTTCCCCCCAGGGCTGGGTGGGGACAGTGCAGAGACACCTCAGCACATCTGAGGCAGCCAAACCCCCAGAGTGACCTCGATTAAACCCCTCGGGGGGGGGGTGGCTTGGTGACTCCGGCTCCACTGAACACCGGGACTCCTGAGGACCCCCAGGACCCTCCCGGGAGCACCCCCAGTGCCTCCCACGTGGGGGACATGAGGGGGGATTTGGGGTGCAGCATAAACCAGGGTCCCCTCCACCGGCACCTGCCCATGCTTCAGTTTCCACAGGCCCAGCACGGACCGTGCACAGCACCGGGGAGTCCCGGGATGGGTCTGGGGCGAGGAGAACCCACCCCAAAACACGACGCCCAAAGACGGAAGGGGGTCCAAGCCCCGATCTGCAGCCACCCCTCCCACCGCTGCTTCACGTGCACCCCAAAAACCCAGAGGGGCCCCGGGCGCCTGCGAGGGGTGGGGGGGGCAGCAAAGGGGACCCCAAACCCGACCATGAGCCACACACGGGGAAGGGGAAGATCCGGGGGGGGTCCCGCGGGCCCGGGGTGGCCTCAACCCAGAGCCCGGGGCAGCGGGAAAGGGAGGAACGCACCGGGGCAGCTCGGGTACCCCAAAACGCCGCGAGGGCGCGGGGGGGACGGAGGGAGCCCCCCGCGGGGTCCCGGCCACGGGGTAGGGGCCAACCCACCCAGCAAACCCCCCGCTCCGGTTCCCGGTGGTCCCGGGGGGATTCGAGCCCCCCCCCGGAAAGGCCCCGAGCCCGGGGGGGGGGGGGGATCGGCCCGCGGCCCCAGGGAGTCCGAACCACCACGCGGGGACACCCCCCCAACCCTCCCCGGGGCCCTCGGGCCGCGCTCTCCCCGCTCTCCGGTGCGACAGGTGGGGGTCGGGCCGGCCAGGCCCGGAGCCCCGGCCCCGCCGCGGCCTACGCGGGCACCGGCACCGGGCCCCGCGCGCCGGGCCCGGCCGTACCCCCGCCTCGGCCGCCCGGGCCCCGCCGGTACCGGGCACAAAGGCGGAGGGGGTGGAGGCCGCGCTCTCCGCGCCGGGCCCCGGCCGGGCCTTACCGGGCAGCGGCGGAGGCGGCGCGGCCCGAGCCCCGCTCGGCCGCGGGGGCCGCTCCTTCCGGGGCCGCCGGGGCCCGTCCCGCCCGCGCGGGCCCCGCGGCGGGGCCGCCCCCCGCCCCCCGCCCGGTGCTCACCCCCCGCGGCCGCCCTACGCCGACGGGCCTCGGGGCGCGGGGCGTTCGGTGCTCCCCGGCGCGGCCATTTCCAGAGGAAAGTAGGTCCCGCCGCCCGCCCCCGCCCCGCCCCGCCCGCCCCGCCGGGGCCGCCGCCGCGCTGGGTCCTTCGGGGAGAGGGGGTGAGGGCGGGGGGGCACCGCCGCGGACCGGGGCGGGGGGGGGGGCGCCGCCGCGGCTCCCGCACTACTTTGGGCGGCGGGGGCTTGCGGGCGGAGGGAGACGGTGCGCGGCGGGCGGGCGCTGCGGCCGCGGGGGGGGGTGCGGGGGGGGTGTGACGGCGCGCGCGCGGCCGCAGCGCACGCTGCCGGGAGGGGGGGGCGGGGGGAGATCCCTCCGCCGCGCTTTAACCCCGGCGGCGCCGGCGGCGCACGTGGGCACCGGGGGGCGGGGCCAAGGCGGCCGGGCCACGCCCCCTCCTCCCGGCACCGGCACCGGGGAGGGCTCCGGGATCGGGGAGGCCACGAGGGCGGACGGAGAGAGGACTCCGGGACTGACAGCGGGGAGGCCACGAGGCGGGGACGGAGGCAGCTCTCCGGGACCGGCGGTCCCAGGATCCCCGGAGCAGCCACCGGCACCAGGGCCGGGGCCTCCCGGTGTCTCCGGTAGCAGCAGTTTTGCCCTGTCTCAAGGTCCCCTGTAGAAGCCGCCGGGAGAGGGATCCCCGGAGCAGCTGCTATGTCCGATCCTGGTCCCCTCCTCACGGCCACCGCGCGCTGCTGCTGAGCCACGGCCCCCCCGGTGCCCACGGTCCCGCCCGGTACCGGGCAGTCACGGTCACGCACACCAGGACACCCACACGCACCCCTCTCGACCCCGTGGACCCCAAACCCTGGGCAGGACACGGGCCGGTGCCCCCCATGCAAGGGCACATCAGCCCCCCTCGGTCACAGCAGGGACCCTCACTCACCCTGGGACCCCCCAGGAGCCCAAACCCCCAGGCCCAGAGATCTGAGGGGGCTACCCAGGGGGTGCAGCCCCCCACTAGCCCCCAGGCTGCATCACCCCAGCCCCAACACCCCAACACTGACTGTGGGGGCAGAGAGCACCCCCCCCCTGCACCCCACTTCCCTCCCCACCAGCTCCTGCTCCTCTCTACCACCATAGCTGGGTAATTAGCAGTAATTAGCCCGACTAGGTGGAGATAAGCCACGCGGGGGAACCACAGCCAGGCCCCCCCAACTCACCCAGCCCAAGCTGCAGATCTCGGGGGAGAGAAATGGGGGGAACGGGGGCTGCAGAGCCCCCCCCGGGTCCCGGTGATGGCTCTGGGGTGCTCAGGCCCATGGTGGGGGGCTCAGCCCCACAGCACACCCAGGGTTGGAAGGCACCCCAACGCTGGGGTGTTGGGGGGAGCCCCACGTGCTGCCTCATCCCCCCCCCCCGCCTGGAACAGCCCCCCCAGTCCAGGGGTTCACAGACAAAACAACGTTTAATTGTTCCAGCCCTGACTCCCACCGGTCCGGCACAGCCGGGAACAACACCCGCATTCAGCCCTGGCTCCCGGGGCAGGAGCAGCCCCGACGTGTCCTTGGGCGTGTGGGGGGACAGCAGCCACGGGCCGGGGGGCTCCTGGCTGGGACAGGACCCCCACCCCGCTCCCAGCCCCCCGTGAGCTCCACAGCCCGTGCCAAGTGAGAGGTCCCAAATCGCAGTGGGACCGTGTGGCCCCCCCAAAGCCACCGCCAAGGTCTGGGTGAAGGTCCTGGGGGGGGGTCCTGCCCCATCCAGGGGGTCGTGCCCCATCCTGGGGGTGTCACATCAGGCAGCAGCTGGTGGATCTGCTGTAGGAACTGTCCACCCGGTCGACCTCCTCGATGATCTTCATGAAGATCCCCTGGGTCACCTGGGGACGAGGGAACATCAGCCCCAGCCCCGCCAGGACACCGTTCCCACCCCGGGGGGGTGTCCATCCGCCCCACCTGGCTCTCCTTGGCCAAGGACTCGAGGAAAAAGGCCCCCCACGACCCCGCCAACTCCTTCCCTTCCTCTGTCCTCACTTCCCGGCTGGAGACACAGCAGAGGACGGGCAGGATGGGCCACTGGGGGGACGTGGGACCCCCAGAGCCCCCCTTACCTCTGCAGGGCCAGGTCTGCCTTGTTCCCCACCAGCACCACGGGCATGCTGCAGGCATGGGGAGGGCGAGGGCCCTGCCCCCCTGGCCCCCCCTCCCCACGAGGGACAGCACCTACCGAGTCCTCCCCCGGCTCTTGTACAGCTTGTCGTGGAGGGTCTTCACCACCTGGAAGCTGTGGGGGCAAGGGGACCTCCAGACACTTCCCTCCAGCTTGGGGGTCCCCCCCCTCCCAGGGGACCCATCCCCAGCCCCGGGGGTCCCTCACCTCCGCAGGGAGGTCACCGAGTACACCAGGATGTGGCCGTGGATGCCAATGATGAAGGAGTGGGGCAGGATGGTGTATTCATCCTGGGTGATAGCAGGGGTTGCTGGGGGGACAGGGGGGGCAACAGCCCCTCACCACCCCCAAACCCCCCTGACCTGCCCCAGCGTTACCTGCCCGGCCGTGTCCACCAGCTGCAGCTGGAACTCGTCCTTGCCCACCACCAGCACCTTGTTGTAGGCTGCGGGGGTGGCACCAGCTTAGGGGAGCTGCCTGGCACCCCTGCACCACGCCCCAGGGCTCAGATCCACTTCTACCCCACTCCAGGGCCGTCTCAGCCCCCCCAACACAAGGTTTTGGGGCACAACCCCCTCCAGAAGTGGGGACACGTCTGTCCTCGTCACCCGTGGCCCCACAGGGGCAGCAGGAAGGGGGACCCCGGGCGGGCAGCCCCCCGCACCCCCCCCACGCGTGGGACTTACTGCTCTCCACCGTGGGCTCGTAGCACTCCACGAACTTCCCCTCCACGAACTGGTGGGCCAGGGAGGTTTTACCTGGGGGGGGGGGGAAACAACAGGGCTGGGGGGTCCCGGCATCACCGCGGGGCAGGGGACGCAGCCGGACCGAGGGACAGGAACTCCCCCCCGGGGGCTCGAGGGCACACGAGGGGACGGAGGGTCTCAAAGGGGGGGTGACTAAGCTGGGCACGGTCCCACAGCCCCCATTTGGGGAGGGGACCCCTTGGTGCTGAGCCCCCCGGCACAGCCCCTCCTCCCCGTGCGCGGTAACCCCCAGTGTGGGCAGCCCCGCTCCCCGGAGGGCAGGACCCCCGATGCCGAGCCCCCCGCACTGACCCACGGCGCGGGGGGGGCCGAGGACGAGCCCTTCGCGGTGCCGGAGCGGCGGCGCGGGCGGGCGCGACAAACGGCGCGATAAAACCCGCCCGCCGCGCCGGGAGGGGGCGGAGCCGCCGCCACTACACCGGCGGCCGCACGTGACCACAACACGGCCCCGCTCCCATTGGCCGAACCGCGGCGGAGGGGGCGGGGCCAGCCTGCGGCGCAGGCGCGGTGCCCGCCGGGGTTCCATTCATGAAAACGGAGGGAACGGCCGCGGCCACGTGGTGACCGCGCACCTGAGCGGGGGGGGTGTGGGGGGGGGCTTAGTGACCCCTTCCTGTCCCCCCCAACTTGCTCCGGCCCGGGGACCCCCGGGAATGCCCTCATTCACATCCTGATCCCCGAGATCCCCAGCCCCAGGACCCTCAGTGCCCCAGCGATACTCCAGCTCCCCGGGATGTCCGACCCCAACCTCAGTGACCCCCAGCCCCCCTGAGGATACCCCTACCCCTCAGGATGCCTGACTTCAATCCTAAGGACCCCCAGGCCCCCGAGTGTCCAGCCCCTGGGGATACCCCAGCCACTCAGGATTCACAGCTCCAGCCCTAGGGACCCCCAGCCCCCTGGCATAGTCAACTCCAGCCACTCAGGATTCACAGCTCCAGCCCTAGGGACCCCCAGCCCCCTGGCATAGTCAACTCCAGCCCCTCTGGACCTCCAACCTAGGATTGTGCAGCCCCCACTTCCAGCCACAGCTCCACAGGGCCCGTAGAGTCTCTTTATTTCCCCGAACAATTAAATAGCAGTATTTCTTTTGGTTTTTAAACAGAAGTGGTTAAAAGCAGGCTACCCTCCTGCCCCACGGGGTGAGCCCCGCTGCCGGGGCAGGTGGGCATGGGGGACATTTATATTACCATTTATAAATAGAAAAATAAAACTCTCAAGCAGGGCGGGTTAGCAGTTAGCACAGTTAGAGCCAGGCCTGGCACGGGATGCCTGTGCCCACGGCAGGCACCTGGTCCAGCCACCCTGGGGACACTCTGGGTGCCAGGGACAGACCCAGAGCTGGGGGACGGGCAGGAACTGCTGCCAAGTGCTCGGTGTTGAGCTATTTTGCCACCACCCTCCTGGCTGGATTTGGCCCTGGGATGGGGTCTGGTGGTGCCTGACAGACACCAGCCCCGGCCCCAGCAGTGGTTAATAAAGCAATAAATACCAGGGGAGCACACGGGGGTCTGGGGCACAGGGACAGGGCTGGGTGGGGGTCCAGGACACAGGACAGGGCTGAGCCCGGTCCCTGCACCACCCCGTGACACCCCATCCCATGGATCCCACCCCTACCACCCCACACCCCGGGACAGCGCTGAGCCCAGAGACCCCCAACCTCCCCACTTGGCTGGGGGTGCCCCCTGTCCCTCCTCCCTGGGCCCAAGGGGTGCCCAGGGCCGGAGCCCCCTCGCTTCCAGTGCGCGGCATCACCTGCAGTGTGGTGACCGGGGGGGAACGGGGACCCCTAGAGCTGCAGGGCCTCGTGGCCCAGCACGCCCCCGGCCAGCCGGTAGAGCAGGCGGGAGTACCAGTGCATGCCCACCTCGGGCACCGTCCCGTTGCCCGCCTGGGCGCGGGCGGGCAGCAGCGAGAGGAGCCCGTGGAAGAGGCGCAGCGGGGCGAAGGCGCGGTGGGCCCAGCGGTGGCTCTCCAGGACGGCGTAGCAGGACGCCAGCACCCCGTTGACCAGCAGGGTCCCGTGGGAGGTGAGCGGGGCGAAGACCCCCACGCCGTCCTCCCGCGAGACCCTCAGCACCCGCGCGGGGCGCAGCCCCCGCCCGCCGGCCCCGTGGGCCAGCACGGCGTCGCCGGGGCGCACGCGGCGGGCGAAGACGGGCAGGAAGGCGGCGGAGCCGTTGGCGGCCCCGCGGGCGGCGAAGACCAGGTGGGACGGGGTGAGGAGCAGCCGGCGCGCCGGGCCGGCCGTCTCGATGGCCACGAAGGAGGCGCGCTGGCCCAGGTCCCGGTCGAGGAAGAGCAGCACCTCGGTGGGCACCAGGCGCCCGCCCGGCTCGGCGCCCAGCACCCAGTCGCCCCGGCGCAGGTCGGCCAGGCCCCGGCGCTCGCCGCTCTGCAGCGTCACGGTGGCGTGGCCGGGGAAGCAGCCGCCGGTGCGGATGGCCAGCGAGTTGTCTGCAAGGATGGAGAAAGGCGTGGGTGTCCCCCGCCGGCCACCTCCACCGGGCCACCACCTCCAGAGGGGAAACGGCTGCCCCCCGGTCCCCAAAGCACCCCCGGAACAAAGCTGGTATTTTCCGAAGCCCCCCCACCCCGGTTCCTGCGTGCTGTGGCTCCTGGGCGCTGCAGGGCCCCTTTGTCCGCCCCCGCACTGATGCCCTTTGTTCGGGGCTGGCACGGTGACATTTACGGCCACTTTCACTTTCTGTCGATTGTCACTTCTGGACCGGATGGGAACTGCTGGGGGCTGGGGGGGTGCAGGGCTGGGAACTGTAGGGGGTGGGGGGCTGCGTTGCTGTTCCTCTCACTGAGAGCTGAACCACGAGGGTGGCTCCATCTGGCCAAAATTCAGAGGGGAAAGTGTGGATTTTGCCAATCTGGTGGCCGGAAAGACCGGGGCGAGCTGGGCTGGGGCCAGACATCAACTGGAGCAGGGCTGCATCACACATGAATCTGGGAAGCCAAGATGGAGCAGAGGGGGCTGTGGGGCTGCAGGTTGGGATGTTTATGCAGATGGCAGCCCCCCCATCCCGGCGGCAGCCCCTTCCGTGTGGTACCTGCTTTGACAGAGACGTGGATGTGTGCCTTGGACTCGTAGTAGACCCAGTCGAAGCCGGCCTCCACGGCCAGACGGGCCAGCATGCCGTACTTGTGGCGGTCCCGGTCGGACGTGGTGATGTCCAGCGCCCGGCCCTCGTAGTGCAGCGAGTCGGGGAGGTGGTGCCCGTCCTCGTCCCAGCCCTCGGTCACCCGCAGCTTCACCCCCGGCCACATGTTCATCACCGCGATGGCCAGAGAGTTCACCCGCTCCTTGCAGCGCTGGGGGAGGGACACCGGCACCGGTGTCACCCCCGACACCTCCACAGCACTCAGCACCTCCACAGCACCCAGCACCTCCACAGCACCAACACCTCCACAGCACCCAGCACCTCCACAGCACCCAGCACCTCCACAGCACCCAGCACCCCCTCACAGGGACCGACAGAGAGGGACCCCACAGGGACAGGGAGACGCCAGGCCTTGGAGGGAGCCCAAAGGGGCCGCTGGTGGGGGCAGATGGGGTGTCCCCCCCGGGGCATAGAGAGGGTCATGGCCAAGCTGCCCCCCCCAGCCTGGGCGCAGGTTGAACGTTAACGTGCCCCGGGGTCCCGTGGTGGAGCTGGGGCAGCCGGGCAGAACGGGCAGGGGACCGGGACGGGGACCAGGACCTTCCCCAGTGTCACCTTCCCCGCGGCCACGGCCGTGACTGATTAACCCGGCGGGGGGGCTGTGGGGCAGAGCTGGGGGTGCAGCTGACCCTGAACCAGACCCGGGTCCGGGCTGAGGGGGACAGCGGGGGGGCCCGGTGGCTCCGGGATCCCTCTCCCCATCCGCAGCGACAGCACCGACACGGGATGCAGCGGCCGGAGCTGCCCCCGGTGCCCCCCCGCGGTCGGTGAGGTCACGGCGTCCCTCGGTGCCACGGTGCCCCCCCTCTCCCCCGTCCCACAAAGCGGCTCCCGGGAGCGCGGGGCCGCGGGGGCGGGAGCGCGAGGCGCGGGCCCGGGGCGGCCGGGCCGGGGGGGCAGGAATGCGCCCGGCCCGGCCCGGCCCGGCCCGGCCACAATAGGCGCCTTCCAGCCCGGCGCTGACCTCAGGCCCCGGGAATGCCGCCGCGGCCACAAAGGGCCCTTTCAGCCGCCCGCACCCCGGGCCGGCTCCGCGCCCGCGGCTCCGCCGGGCCCCGCCGCCCCGGCCCCGCCGCCTTCTCCGCCCCGGCTCGCGGGAGCTGCCGGCGCCGCATGGACCACTCGCAGCATCCCCCGTCGCCATGGCGACCGCGGAGCCGCCCCTCGCCATGGCAACCGTGAGCATCCCGACGGGGCGCGGCGCGTCCCGGGCTCCCGCCACCCCGGAGCCCCATCCGGGGAGACGGCTACCGAGGGTAGCTGGGGGAGAAGAGCCGCCGGTCCCCCGGGCCCGCGGTGCCGCCCCGTTAATCCCCGACGGTCCTGAATGCCCAACGCGGCGGGACCGCCCCGTCCCAGGGATCCGGTGCTGCCCCGCCGCCGCCAAGGGCCGGGGAAGGGAGCAGGGGACCGGGGAGAGGCACCGGGCGGCCCCGGAGGGGACCCTGCGCCCCGGGAGGCTCCGTACACCCAGGAAGGGTCGGTGCCACACGGGAGGCTCTGTGAGCCCCAGGGTGGTCGGTGCGCCCTGGGGGGGTCGGTGCCGGCCGGGGACGGTCCGTGCGCCCCTGCGAAGGTCGCTGTGCTCCCGCCCGCTCCCCCCGCCGCCCCCGCGCCCCCGGGGAGCGAGGCCGGGCCGGGCCGGGCGCAGCCCCCACCTCGGTCATGAGCCGATCCGCCCCCGTGTTCTCCTCGTCCTTGAAGATGATGTCGGGGTTGTAGTTGGGCACCAGGTCCCTGAAGCGCTCCGAGCCCCGCAGCACTTTGCCCTCCGCCTTCCCGCTCGCCCCCAGCGTCTGCTCGGGCACGTTGGGCACGAACTGCTTGTAGAGCAGCGGCGAGAGCTGCCGCCGCCCCAGCCGCCGCCGCCCCACCGGGCCCCGGCCCGGGCCGCAGCCCAGCACCGGCGCGGCCAGCAGGCAGGCGGCGAGGCCGAGCAGGACGAGGGCGAGCGGCCTCCACCGGGGCATCCCGCCCGCCGGGCCCCGCTGCCTCCGCGGGCCCCGCTCAGTCGCCGGGGGCACGGGCGGCCGGGCCGGGCATGGTCCCGGTGTGGCGGCCCTGGGGCTTTTAGAGGGTCGCGGTGCCAGGGGCGGGTCGGCGCCGTTTCCTTCTCACACCCACGGTCCCGAGGTCGCTGCGGGATCCGCGGCCGCCCGGGACGACTGTTCCCCCCCCCGCGCCCTCCCGCCGGTGCCGCCACCCACTCGGAGCGCAGCGCCCGGGCACCGGGATGGCCCCCCCGCCAACGATTCCGTGCCCACGGGCCCGGCACCCCCTCGTCTGGCGCTGCACCTCGGTCCCGGGGTGTCCCCGCCACAGCCCGAGCCTCGGGAGAAGCCCTCGTACCGGGCACCGGCGCCGGACACCAATATTTCCCTCCGGGCACTGCCCCGGAACCGGCACCGGGCACCCGGCTCCTGGCGCTGCCCCGGGACCGGCACTGGGACCTGACCCCGCTCCCCGATCTCTCTCTCCCTTCCCGTCTGAATCCCACGCTCCAGTACCGGCTCCTCTCCCCACTCCCCACACTGCGCTCCGGTACCGTGACCCCCCCTTATCCCGGTCCTAACGCCGCGATTCTGGTCCTGGGACCTCTCCCCTCTCCTGTCACCGCCTGTCGGGACCGGGGACCCCCCCTCTCCCTGTCCCGATCCCTCTTCTCCCGCTGCCCCTGGCACCGAGGGCACTCGTTATCCTAACGCTGCGCCGCCGGCATCGGCACCTGCTCCGTCCCCTTGGCACAGCCCTGCTCCCGAGCTCCCTGGCGCTCCCCCGGTCCCCTCTGTCCGGTCCGACCCCCGGTCCCGGTCCCGGTCCCCACTCCTGGCCCAGTCCCCGGTACCGGCTGCCCTGGGTGCCGGTCGGCACCGTGCGCCGCCCGCAGCCGCCCCGGCCGGGCTGCCCCCACCGCGGCCGCTCGGCTCCGGCGCTGGGCAGCCCCGCCGGGCCCCGCCTCGGACCCGGCCCCCGGGAGCGGCGGCAGCGGCGGCCACATCCCCCGGGGCCGCCCCCGCCGGGCTGCCCTGCCCCGGCCCCTCCGCGCCCGGGGCACCCCGGCACCGGGACCGGGCTCCGGCGGGGATGGAGGCACCCCCGCGGCTGGGACCGGGCTGCTCCGGGGCTGCCACCGGGCTCCAACCGGCACACCGGCTCCTCCAGGAACGGGACACCCCCGGGACCGGGCTCCCCCCGGGGCTGGGGCCGTGTCCCCCCACCCAGCACCCCCAGAGCTCCCAGTGAAGCACCCAAGGGTGCCGGGGGCCTGGGCGAAGGCAGGAGGCAGCAGCGGGGCGGTGGAGCGTTGGGAGCGGGTCGAGGGGGTCCCGGCCCCCCCCGCGGTCCCCCCGCAGCCCCGGTGCCAGCCCGGGGTGACTGGGAGGGGAGCAGATTGCGGGGAAATCGCGGGCACCGATGGCCTCATTTCCTGCAATATAAACCAGGTTTCCTGCGCTTCCTGCTCGGCCCCAGCCGGGGGGGGGGCGAGGGGGGGCCAGGGCCCCCCACCCCTGCCTGGGGGGGTCGGCCTGGCTCGGCCCCAGCCGGGGCAGGATGGGTGGGGGGCCGGCTCTCAGGGCAGTTTCCGCTCTGGCTGCACGACCCCCCCATCCCAGGGGCTGGAGCTCACCCTGTGCCCCTCACTGGGGGCAGCTGAGACCCCCCCTGCCCGTACCCCGAAGCAGCCCAGAGCCCCCCAACACCCTCGGGATCCCTCAGCCCGGACAGCGGGCAGGGAGTTGTCCTCACCTGTGGCCCTGCCTGGAAAAACCTCGTTAACCCCAGCCAGGAAGAGGGTTAATTATGGCCCCCAGGGAAGGGGAGGGCAGCGCTGTGACCCCCCGGGCAGGGACACCCCGCCCCTGCCCCCCCCCCCCCGTACTCGGCCCTGCCCTTGGGGGGGAATAAAACCCCCAGATTCAGATATTTTTATATAAAAAAGAGACACTATTTATTGCTCCAAACAAGTTCTGTGGTAACAGAGAACTAACAGACTCATCACACCAAGCTGCCAGAGAGAGGGGCTTGTCCTCTGCACCCCAGGCCCCCCTATTAGGGACCCCAAAGGCCTCGGGGTGGGGGGGACACAACCAGTGCCCCCCTGCAGCCCCAGAGTGACACGGGGACGGGCTGTGGAGTGACGGTGGGCAGGGGACACGGGGCCGTCCCCGTAGTGTCAGAACAGTCCCTGGGGTGGGGGGGACATTTAAAACCCAACCAGGCCCGAGGGAACAGCCTGGAGGGGTGGGGGAGGGGGCCCAGCCACTCTCACACGAGGTATGTAAAGAGGATGGGGGGGCTGCAGCCAGCACAGCCTCGGGGACACCCCCGGGGGGGTGACAGGGACGGGGCTCAAGGCCAAGGCTCAGCAGCGCAACAGGCTGAGACAGAGCTCGGGGGGTGTCCCCCCTCCCGTGGGGTCTTGGTTGTCCCTGGGTGGCCCCAGTGTCCCTGAAGCACCAGGTGCCATCGGTGCCAGCTCTGTGGCTGGGGGGCCACCGTGGCTGGGGGGCCACGTCGCTGTCTCCAGCCTCAGCAGGACTTGACGAGGGGCCGGCGGCACGTCACGGGCAGCGGGAGCCTGTGCAGACCTGGGCAGAGGGAGAGTGTGAGAGCTGGAGGGGCACAGGGGACACCCCAGCACCCAGCCCCGTGTCCCCACAGCCCCTCATCCTCACCGAAGGCACGGATGAGCTCAGCCTGCACGGCCCAGGAGACCCTTTTGACCAGGCACAGCGTGGTGAGCCCCGCGAAGCCCATGTTGTAGAGGAAGACGATGTAAAAGTTCCCCAACCAGTTGAAGCGGCCAAAATCCCCCAGGAGGTCAAAACGGGTGATCCCTGCCCAGGGGTGTGGGACACCGGTCAGAGCACCCCAACCCTGGGGACACCCCCGTCCCGGGGTCACCCCGATCCCTCCAGGGGCTCACCCAGTGTCCTGGAGAATACGGGCAGTGCCGAGCTGAGCACCAGCAGGGAGACACAGTTCCCGATGATCTGAGGAGAGGAAGGAGGGTTTGGGGGGGGGGGCAGTGCTGCCTCAGGGACCCTCCCAGGCTGGGGAAGGGGCTCCTCAAATGCTGGAGAACCACCGAGGTCCTTCCCAGCACTGGGACGCTTTGTCCCCTCGCATGGGGACACCACGTGGTGCTCTGTGGGGACGGGGGGTCCTGCACATCAAGGGGAGCCCAGGAGCCCCCCAAGCCCAGCCCGGAGCTCCCACCTTGGTGAGGGGGGTGTCCTGCCGCTCCGGGAGCAGGCGGGTGAAGAGGGGGGAGCTGTAGAAGCCCACGACAGAGGAGACCATCAGGTAGCTGGGAGGGATGTTAAGGAGGAAAACAGGGTGGGATGGCCCTGGGGACAGTGTTGGGGACAAAAGGGACATCGCTGGGGACACAAGTGCCCGCTGGAAGGATACAAGATGAGGACGACCTGCAGGGCAGCTCCGAAGGAACCAAAGATGGAGAAGGAGACCTGGCCCAGGGACGCGTCCTGCTGAGAGAGGAGGGGCAGGCTGGGGGGAACAGTCCCCAGACCAGCGAGGGACACGACCCCACACTGCCCCATCCCCCTGCCCGGGTACCTGGATGCCCCGTGGCATCGCGGCATCGTCCAGCAGCAGCTCCAGGACGTGGAAGCAGACGATGAGCACAGAAATGCCCTGGGAGGAGCAGGGAGGGAGTGAGGGCAGTGGAGGGGACAGGGGCGACCCCCAGCTCCCCTGGGTGCCAAGGGCCACTCACCGTCAGCGCCAGGAGGCCCAGCATGGCCAGGGGGTAGCCCAGGTTCCTCTGCCAGGGCGACGCTCGGTGCCGCAGCTCTGGGGGGGATGTGCCCAGGTGAGAGGGGAGAAGAGCCCCCACCCCAGGGTGGGAGACTGAGGGGGCCCCAAGCTGCCAGGACAGGGGGTAACAGCCCCTACCCCATTTTCTATCCCACTCCCTCCATGGAGCACAGGCTGCCGGGGACCCAGTGCTCCCAGTGCCAAGCTGGGAGGAATCCAGGTATCCCGATCTTCCCCCCCAGGCTCCTCACCCAATTTCCGCCTCTTGCTCCGGATGGCAAAGAACTGCTCCTGCAGCAGCTCCATGTCCAGGTTCAGCCAGCAGGAAGCTTTGCCTGCCAGGGGGGACACACCGAGGGGCTCAGGGGGGCTGAATGCTCTCATGGTGGGGCACAGGGACCCTCAGTCCACCCTGTGCTCCCCCTTCCCGTGCCGGGCACCCACCAGAGCGGATCCTGCGGGATACAGCAGCTTCCTCAAACCTCGTGCAGCTCAACTGCTCGTCCAGGTCTTCCAGGAGCTGGGGATGGGTGAGGAGCCCGTGAGCAGCCAGTGAGGGGGCATGAATGGCTCCCCATGCCCAGGGTGAGAGACCAGGCAGCCCTGGGGACAGTCACACCCAGGCTGGGGCAGTGGGATCAGGGAGGGGACACCTCCTCACCCGGGGTTTCACCAGCAGCTTCCCCGTGACGGTGAACATGGTGGAGAGGCCGAAGGGGGTGCACACTGTGGTGGGAGGAGAGGCTGAACAGGGGGTGTCCCAGCATCCTACCCCTCCCAGCACCCCCAGAAGGGTCCTGGCTAGGGCGGGGGGCTCAGCCCTGCACAATGACCCCTCCAGACCCCATTTGCAGGGAGCACGCCCTTCTCCCAGCTGGGCACCCCCGGGGACCTGCACCCAGAGCAGGACGGGCCACTGGGGCCGGGGCACCTCGGGGGGCATCCAACGACTCACACAGCAGAAGCAGCACACCAAAGAGGGAGATGCAGGAGTAGAGGTAGGGCAGGTAATATTCCCAGAGGTCTGTGGAGATGGCAGGATCAGGCCGGTGGCACCAGGCACCCCTTGTCCCATTCAGTGCCAGGGCCTGATCCTGCCCCGCCGGAGCTGGGAGAGCCCTGGGCACCCCAGCAGCACCCACCATAGAGCGACTGGCGACTGGCAGCGTCGTTGCCCACGATGGCAGAGGCCACCCAGACCATGCCCAGCACCAGCAGCGTCAGCAGCAGCAGCACCACGGACGTCTCGTACACCCTGGCCATGATGCCCTGCGGGAGTGGGGTCAGTGTGGAGCCAGGGATGGGGGGCACAGGGGGGACATCCACGGGACCACCCACCTTCTTGGATCCTGCAAACCCCTCTGACTCGGTGAAGAAGTAGGCAAAGGGCATGAGGAACACGAGGGACAGGTTGGAGAAGAGGAAGATCAAGTTCCAGAGGCCTGGAGGAGGGAGAACAGCATGGGATGAGCACCCGGGGGGGGGGGTGAAGCCTGACCCACAGCCCTGGAGGCACTCACAGGGTCACCCTGTGCACCCACCGTGGACGAGGGACCCGCTGAGCCACTGGATGTAGTAGTTGTGGGGGAAGGAGAGCAGCACCTCGTTGCTGATGATGGAGAAGGGCAGGAGGAGGACGGCGCCCAGTGCCACGGCCAGGGTGAAGGTGCAGAGCCCCAGCCTGCCAGAGGGACGAGTGTCACCTCCGGGTCAGGGCCTCTGGGGGTGCCACAGCCCAGCTGTGCCACCCAGTGTCAGCAGCACCCACGGGACACGGTGTCCCAGCTGAGGAAGGGGCAGAGTTTCAGGGAAAGGACAGACAGGAACTTACGCAATCCTGTTGACAGCAGCATCCTCGTCATCGTGCACTGCGGGGACAAAACCCCAAACCGAGGGGCTGGGGGAGGCAGGGCTGCCTGGAGCATCACTCCCTACCCCCTCCCCAACCTCCCACTGCTCTGAACAGAAACCCCTCCAGGGAACTGGGCTCTGCTCTCCCCTGGGGCAGCTGGTGGGTGCCCTGCAGGGACTGGTGTCACGGAAACCCGGGCTGTGGCAGGACCAGAGAGGCTGAAAGTGAGGGAGAAACAACCCTGGGGAGGCTGAATGTGGCTGCCAAGGGCTGCCCAGCTCTGGTAGCTCCTACCTGCTGTGAAGTCCGTGTGCTTCTTGAAGTGGGTTATGATGAAGTGGCAGAGGATGTAGAGGCTGGCGAAGAGCAGGGCACAGATCTGCGGGCAGAGGAGCATGGGCAGTGCAGGCAGGCCCGGAGGGCAGCGCTCCTACCCCAGCTCCTACCCCGGGCGATGCCCCAGGGCCCATCTACTCCACCCTATTTGTTTTTCCACTCCTGGAAAAACACCCCACCTGTGTGCTCAGCCCCATCCGTGCCCGGGGGCTGCACCCGGGGCTCGCCCATAGGTGCCCTCAGACTGCCACAGCACCCAGGCCAGGGGGCTGAGGACCCACACAGCAGCTCGAGGTCAGCCTGTGCTGGCAGAGCTGGAGATGAGACCCCGTGGGACACCCCTGAAGCGCCTGATCCCGCAGCCCTCGCTCCGCTGGCACCGGCACCCGGCAGAGCCACGGGAACAGCCTTGACTGAGGCGGCAAGGCCGGCCGTGGAGTCCCTCCCGCCCCCGGAACGCCGAGGTCACGCCGGAGCAGATGATGTGCAGGGAACACGGCGACCTTTCATCCCACCGGGGACGCGGCAGGGCGGGGAAAGGTCACCCGAACCCTCCACCTTGGCACAGGAGGAGCCGAGGCACCTCCCTCCTGCCCGGCCTGGGGGGACTCGGTTGGCTGGGGGTCCCCAGGATCTGCCCCCAGAGCTGGCCCAGCCCTGGACACCCCAAAGGGCAGCGCCCAGCGGGTCCTTCTGCTCCTGCTTCCACCCAGCAAAGAGGCTCAGATCACAGGTCCCCTCCTGCCATGGTCTGTACCCCAAAGCACAATGCTCTGCCTGGCTGAGGGACCCCCAGCACCTCCTGCACGCAGGGAAGTCGGGCCGAGTGGGCTCCGCACTGGCCGTGCTGAGCAAGGGGCTCCTGGGTGAGATGTGGCTCCCCAGGATGGAGATCTGTGAGACCCAGGGCAGAGATGTTGGGCTGTGGCCACGAGGTCCTCCCTCTAGGCACTGAATTTGGCTGTGGCAAGATGGCCCTGGCACTACTGGTCACAGCCCCCCTGGTCACCCTGCACGCAGCATCCTGAGGATCCTTGGGAGATGCCAGGATCAGGACACCCAGGTCATCATCATCCCTGAGCCTGTGGCAGCAGGAACAGAGGAGCAGACCCAGCTGCCTCCCTCACCAGGGCCCAAGGGTTGGGGGGGCTCTGCAGGGCCCCTTCCCACTGACACTGAGCTGCTGGGGACAGGGACAGAGCCAGGAGCCTGGCACAGGGCTGGCCTGGCACAGCCCAGTACCCAGGACCCCAGCCGGGACTGCCGGGGCTGGCAGAGGGTTCAAGGGGGGGGCTCAGCAGGGCTCAGCCCCGGGACCCCGCTATCTGCGGGGCACACGCAGCCGCCGCGGCCCTGGCACCGATAAGGACCGGGCGTGGGGCACCTCCACAGCCGGGCCCCACAGCCGCCGCCGGGGATCTCACCCTCCCGCGGGGGGCTGCGAGCTCCCAGCCCCCTCCTCCCCACGTCTCCCCGCCACACCGGGCTCCTTCCCCCGCCCGCCGCCCCTCACCGCGATCCCCGGGGGCACTCACGATGCACTCGCGGACCCTCTCGTGGAAGAGCTGCTCCCGCACGGCCAGCGCGTCCTGCTCCAGAGGGGCCATACTGCGGCCAGCATGGCCGGGCCGGGCCAGCAGGGCCGGAACAGACGGTCCGGTGCCGCCGCTCCGGTGCCGCCGCTCCGGGACAGACCCTCCGGTGCCGCCGGGAAGCGCCGCTCGGAGCCCGCGGGGTCGGGCCCCGCCCCCTCGGCCCCGCCCCGCTACAATGTATCCGCTAGGCCGCAATGAACGGGCCCGGCCGGCCCCGCCCCCCGCCCCCCATTGGCTCCGGGCCCTGAATGAAGCGCCGCTCATTGGTGGGCGGGCGGTGCGCCGCGCGCTGATAGGCTGAGCGCCCGCTGGCCGCTCCCACGGGGCAGCGGCCCCCGAGAAACCCCCCGGGATTAAGTGCAGGGATGGAGTTAATCCCGGGACACGGCTAATCTCGGCCGGGTTAATCCCGCAGGGGCCCAGGGGAGAAGGGTAGGGGCTCCCCAGCGCTGGGGGCACCGGGCAGGGGCAGGGCAGGGCACCCCCTTCTCACAGAGGAGCCCGGCAGCACACCCAGGGTGACCCCAACCTGCAGCACCCAGTGATGGGGGGGCTTCACTCCCCAGGGAGGAGAGCAGGCAAAGGGGTGGCCAGTGCCAGCTCGGGCAAGAGCAGAGGCATGCCAGCCGCTTCACTGGGCACAGACAATAGGGACAGTCTGTTCCCATGGGATGGGGCCAGCCGGCCCAGGCGAGAGCGGGCGCTGACACAGAGGGTTTGTATCCGACACACTGGAGCTTCTCTTAAAGCCTTTTATTCACAGACACATGGAAAATCTGCATGATCACATCAGAAAGGACAGCACACCCCAAAACGCACCCAGTGCACAAGGAAGCTCAAGTGTTTGAAGCGGACATTTTGTGAACATGCGACAGCGACAGAAGGAACCCAGCTTTTAGTATTCCTCCCCTTCCTCCTCTCCCTCCCCTTCCACAGAATCCACCCCCACCTCCTCGTAATCCTTCTCCAGGGCAGCCATATCCTCCCGGGCCTCCGAGAACTCCCCCTCCTCCATGCCCTCCCCCACGTACCAGTGCACGAACGCCCGCTTGGCGTACATCAGGTCAAACTTGTGGTCCAGGCGGGCCCAGGCCTCGGCGATGGCCGTGGTGTTGCTCAGCATGCACACGGCCCTCTGCACCTTGGCCAGGTCCCCCCCGGGCACCACTGTGGGCGGCTGGTAGTTGATGCCCACCTTGAAGCCGGTGGGGCACCAGTCCACGAACTGGATGCTACGCTTGGTCTTGATGGTGGCGATGGCGGCGTTGACGTCCTTGGGCACCACGTCCCCGCGGTACAGCAGGCAGCACGCCATGTACTTGCCGTGCCGGGGGTCGCACTTCACCATCTGGTTGGCCGGCTCGAAGCAGGCGTTGGTGATCTCGGCCACCGACAGCTGCTCGTGATAAGCCTTCTCGGCCGAGATGACGGGGGCGTAGGTGGCCAGCGGGAAGTGGATGCGGGGGTACGGCACCAGGTTGGTCTGGAACTCCGTCAGGTCCACGTTCAGGGCCCCATCAAAGCGCAGGGAGGCCGTGATGGAGGACACGATCTGGCTGATGAGGCGGTTGAGGTTGGTGTAGGTGGGCCTCTCGATGTCCAGGTTGCGGCGGCAGATGTCATAGATGGCCTCGTTGTCCACCATGAAGGCACAGTCGGAGTGCTCCAGGGTGGTGTGGGTGGTGAGGATGGAGTTGTAGGGCTCCACCACGGCCGTGGAGACCTGTGGGGCCGGGTAGATGGAGAACTCCAGCTTGGACTTCTTGCCATAGTCGACAGAGAGCCGCTCCATGAGCAGGGAGGTGAAGCCAGAGCCGGTGCCGCCCCCGAAGCTGTGGAACACCAGGAAGCCCTGCAGCCCTGTGCACTGGTCAGCCTGGAAGAAGGGAAGAGGAAAACAAGACCAAACCATCAGTAATTCTCTATTTCAGCTGCTACCCAGTCGCCCAGGATGTCAAATATTCACCCCAGGATCTCAGGCTCTGCTTCCAGCCACAGTGCCCTGTGATTTGTCATGACCAGTCCTCAGGGAAAGGGGTCTCTTCCCGCAGGGATCTGGGGACACTTAGCTTTTTCCTGTCACAACCCTGGCAGTCTCCTTGAGGGAAGGGGGAATCCACAAGAGCTGACCCAGCAAGAGTTAAACACTTGGCACAGCTGCTCATAAGCAGTTGGTCAAGAGGGATCAGAGTGCAGATCAAGAAAAAACCTCACATGACCTTAAAAAAAGGGATGAAATAAGGTTTTCCCAGGGACAGAAATGACCCAAGCAGAAGGGAAATAAAGGGGCTAGTCCTGATCTTGACTTAAAGGATCCAGACCCCACAGGGAGCCACGGCGTGGTGCAAGCTGACACATGACCCACAAGCACATCCAGACCCTAGGGACATACCCTGAGCCATCCACATTCCACTGGGTGCCTACCCAGGGACATCTGGGGCTTCCCTTTGTCCCCAGACCCCCACCTGGAGTGGGATCGCCCCACCATGGGCCGCTCACCAGCTTGCGGATGCGGTCGAGGACCAGGTCGATGATCTCCTTCCCGATGGTGTAGTGCCCGCGGGCGTAGTTGTTGGCCGCATCCTCCTTGCCCGTGATCAGCTGCTCGGGGTGGAAGAGCTGCCGGTACGTCCCCGTGCGCACCTCGTCTGCGGGGAGAGCCCCGGGCCCCGTCAGCACCCAGCGCCCGCTCCCAGCGCCCGCCCGTCGCCCGCCCGCCGCCCCCCGCGCCCCCTCACCGATCACCGTGGGCTCCAGGTCCACGAAGACGGCCCGGGGCACGTGCTTGCCGGCCCCCGTCTCGCTGAAGAAGGTGTTGAAGGAGTCGTCCCCCCCGCCGATGGTCTTGTCGCTGGGCATCTGCCCGTCGGGCTGGATGCCGTGCTCCAGGCAGTACAGCTCCCAGCAGGCATTGCCGATCTGCACGCCCGCTTGGCCCACGTGGATGGAGATGCACTCGCGCTGCGGGGGCACACGGCACCGGCTCACCCCCTCCGGCCCCGCTCTGGGCCCCCCCAGCACCCCCCGGGCTGGCACCGAGCTGGGAAGGGCCTGGCCCCAGGGCCGGATGGGGCCAGATCCTGCCCAGACACCCCCATTGCTCTGGGTCTGGGGGTGCACCCAGTGCAGGGGGTGCTCAGCTCTGGGGGTCCCACCCTGCCCCACCTGGGAGCTCGGACTCTGCCTGATGGGGGATGGAGATCTCACACGGGGGGCCAAGCTCAGCCCCCCCAAACCGCTGTTGTGCCCCAACCTCTGGCTGAGCAGCACTGGGGCCACCCAGGAGCCAAGGAGAGAGGTGCGGGGGACACCCGTGTTTGGGGACTGACTGGAGGCACGAGTGGGCACAGCACTGGGGGTCCCGAGGCCCCGCAGCTGCCTCCATCTGCTCCCAAATGGCGCCCAGGGAGGACATTTTCCAGCCCGGCAGCCCGGGCAGGGCGAGGCTGGGGAGGAGGAAGAGGAGGAGGAGAAGGAAGTCAAGGGCAGCAGCGGGGCCGGGACCGCCCCAGCTGACCTGAGACGGCGGGGATGGGCCGATGGCGTCACCCCCGGGGGGTCCCGCACATTCCCGGCCGCTCCCCGCCCCGCACCACCTGCTCCGCGCGTTCCTCCCGCCCGGCCGGGGGGGGTCGATCTGGGGCGGGCAGCGGCGGCGGGAGCCCCCCCAGGACTCACCGGGCAGGATCGGCCCCGCCGGGTCGGGCTCGCGGGGACAGGAGGGGTTGGGGGCTCACGCAGGGAGGGGTGAGGTTGGAGGGGGGGGGGGTTCAGGGCTGGATTTGGGGGGGAGAGGGCTTAGACGGGGGAGGGGCGGGGCTGTGCCCCAAGCGAGGGGCGGGGCTGTGCCCCCGGCGCGCGCCTTCCCGCGCGCGGGAACGGTAACGGTCGGGCTGGCCCCGCCCCCACCGGGGGGCTACCGGGGACCACGTGCGACCACCCCGGAGGTGCCGTATTCGCCCCCCTCCCGGGGTGCTGTAACCCACCGAGGGGTGCTCCCCCCAGCAGAGACGGCACCCTCTGCCCCTGCTCAGGGCCCCCCCAGCCCCTTCTCTACCCTCCCCAGCCCCTCTGTGCCCACCCACCGCTCCTGCCGTACCCCCAGCCCCTGCTGTGCCACCGAAGTCTGTCCCCCCACTCCTATATCCCCCCGCCCCTATTTCCTGTCCTCCCAAGTCTCCCCCCCCGCCGCTCATTCGTCCTCTTCTCCACCCCCCTCCCATTCCCCCCCCCCAAATCCCCCGCGCCCCCCAGCTCCAGCCCTTCCTCCCCAGTCGCCCAGACCCCCCCCCGTGTGGCCAGCCCCCCCTCACCATGGTGGCTCGGTTACTCGTCCCGACAAGCAAAGAATCGACGCAAGTACCAGCTGCCGCCGCCCCTGGGCGCCCCCCTATATACCGACTGGGGGGGGCGGGCGAGCGCCCCCGCCCCGCGCTCCCATTGGTCTCTCCGCCCGCCCATCAGCGCTCTCACGCCGCCGATTGGCTGAGGCGAGTGGCGCGTTCCGCCTCCTCCCCGCTGCGGGGTTTTGGGCCCCCCCCCCCGTGGGGTGCAGCTCCCCCCCATCCCCACCCCGGGCTCGTGAGGGGCTCCAGGTACGGGGTGTGGGGGGGTACCGGAGGGGGTCTGACCTTCCTGCGGTCCTCAGCCCCCCCCTCTTACTGCGTTGGCCGCCGGGGGGGGGGGGGGGCACGGCCATCCCCGCCCTCCCCTGTCCGCCGCCCCTCCCTCTCAGTGCAGCTCCGCTGCGGAGGAAAACTGCGACATGGGGGGGGGGGCGGCACGTGCTGCCGCGCCCGGTGTGTTCCCCCCCCGTCCCTTTCCCGTCCCCAGGCCGTTAATCGGCTTCTGCGGACGGATCCCCCCCCCCGCCCCATCTGCACTGCTCAGCCCCCCCCCTCCCACTCCATCCCGGCTCATCCGCAACCCAGGGGTCCCTCCCAGCCCATCTGCAGCCTGGGGAGCCCCCCAGCCCGAGCTCCCCAGCCCATCTATAGCGCTCAGCACCCCCCCCGGCCCTTCCGCACCTCTGAT